CTATGCACATGGCATATTAACAAAGATGTAGAGCATAGAGTTAAGAAAATAACGAATAATAAAGATCAAGGAAAAATTTTCAGGTTGACAAGGTGGAATCCAATTCTCAATGCCACCACATTGGATGATTATAATAGAGCGGTCCGGAAAATGGAGGAATCTTATGTAGCATTTCCTGCTGTGATTTCTTATGTGAAGGACACTTGGTTAAACAATCATAAGGAGAAATTTGTGAAATTTTGGACCAATGGTGTGCTTCACTTCGGCAATGTCACCAATTGTAGAGTGGAAAGTGCACATTCATCTTTGAAGGGGTGGTTGGAAACTTCAACTGGTTCTCTCGATTCTGTATGGGCCAAGGTAAACAAGGCAATTGAAGATCAGGTCACACAGATTAAGCAATCACTTGAGCGCAGTCGACGCAGTCATGGGCGGATATATGATGTTATGCCATTACAACATCTTAATGGACGTACCTCCCACCATTGTATGTTGTTGTTGGTGAATGAGAAGAAAAGAATGAGAGAGTTAAGTCATGAGGTGAATGTTCGGTGTGGATGTGTTTGTAAGACAACTCATCAGATTCCCTGTGCATGTGATATACGTCGTGCCATTGATTCGGGGACATACTTCTACTTAGACCAAGTGCACCCCTTTTATAGGACACTAGTGATTGGTGAGGATGGTTGTGTTCCGACTCCATTGGATGACCCCGATCATCAGTCACAGGACAGTCGATTTTTTGAGAGTCTTGTGCGTGAGGTGAGTAGAAGTGACCCGGCAATCATGCGTTCTGTATCTCGCCTAATAGATGAACATCTCCATTCCGATCAATTTGATGTTAATGAGCCGCCTAGGAACACAACTACTAGAGGGAGACCACAATCAAATAATACACGACGTAATCGTAGTGCATGGGAGTATACACGTGGTACTCGTGGGCGTCGTGGTCGTAATGGGGGACGCGGTGATGGTGGTCGTAGTGGAGGTCGAGGTAAGGGTACTCTATGTTTTTGTAATTTTTTGTTTATTTTGCTATACTTTGATGTTTATGTTAACTACAAAATTAATAATTCGTTATTCATCAGGAGGAAGAGACATTTCAGATTTTCCTTACCTTTATGGGCTTCCCGATATCATCAAACCATTTGTGGAGGATTGGAACAATGTAATGGGTGACGGGAATTGTGGATTTCGATGTGTTGCAGACTTTTTCTTAGGTAAGCCTTTGCATAAAGTATCTGTCACATTATATTCCAATGATTTTACTTTAAATTTTGTTGTTTAATTTATTAGGTGGGCAAGACAATTGGATACAAGCTCGGTATTTAATTGTGAACGAGGTTAAGGCATAGTAGCACATAAAAGTAGCACATAAAAGTATCTAAAAGTTATAGTGACATAGTCAAGTCCATAAATTACATAACAAATCTAAAACATAAAATAGAAGCAAGTCGTTCGGTACAAATTATAAAGTGCATCAATAAAACATAATCATCCAGCATACTCATCCCATTCTTTCAGCACATCAGCAACACGTGGCTAGCAGTCGATGCAACCCTACAATAGCCTGAGCAATCCGTCCCATCCACTGCAAATGAGATATTAATAAGTACCGCATCCACTTCTGGAACAACAAAGATACGTGACACGTAATTGAACCAATCATAATAACCATCCACAACATCAGAGGAACACTGAGCGCGTTGGAACTCTGCAAGAATCAACCGAAAACCTCTAGGATACAAGGTCCAAGCATTCTCAACACTCGAGACATTCCACTTAACTTCATACAATTTCGAATCTGCAGGCCTGTAAGCGAAATCTAGACGGTTAATAGGCATAGGAATTGTCTGTACATAACCAAACTGCCGTAAGACACGATCGGGCATGTATGGCTCAATGACATCTCGATAACGAAGCCATCCAATAAATACAGTCCTAGGAACATCTGAGGCTGGCTCTGGACCATAGGGTAGCCAAACCACCTGCAAGGAATGAGGTAAAAACATTAATAAAGTCGCATTAATTAACCTTTGTTTAATGAAAATATGTAGAAAGTGTTATAATTTACCATGTTCGAATCAAACTCATCTAACCGCTGACGAAAAGATCTCAACCGAGCATCAGAAAAGCCCTCCTTCTTAACACTCCAAGTAGAGGCACGAGCCCCATGAGATGCACAAACTAACCGTTCCCTATGAGGCCGAAACGGTGGGAAATGCTTATATATCCAAGCCTGTAGTAATGTCAAACAACCAGCAATGCCTGAGCACATACTCCTGCTCGCAATCCCTAACTGGCGATATAAGTTCGCCAAAGTGGCGACTCCCCATGCATAATCTGAAATATCATCCACACCATGAATGAGCCCGAGGAAGTCAGCTGGTCGTACCCTACTAGCACTCTTGTCTACAAATAATGTAGAACCAAAAAATAGTAACATGTAACCCACAAGTTGCATTTCAGGACTACGCTTTGAGCAAATGTTGATAATGGAATCAATGGAAATCGCACCACTACAATAGTGCGGTGTAAGAGGTGCCAAAAGTGTATCTCTATCCACTCCAAGCAACTTCATAGCATGTATGCGCAACTCCTCACTAGTAGCCTGAGAAGAAACTATACGCCCATCCACTGGGATGCGCAAAATGTGCCAGACATCATGTAGAGTAATAGTCATCTCTCCAAAAGGGAAGTGAAATGTGTTAGTGTCAGGTTGCCACCGCTCCACAAATGCACAAATAAGAGGTATATCTAGGTGTCCAAACATACACCGAGGCAAGTGTGACAAGCCTATACCCTCAACTACTGCAACCTACTCGGATGAAAGCGCGACAAACCATGACTGAAGCTGGTAACATGCTCTTTCCCTATTCTGACACCTTAGCAAGTTTCTCTCCTTTCCATCCCATATCATACGAGCAACATGGCCTCCGAAACTAGGAATAACACTACCATCAAGGGGCCCACCGGGCATGTCCTCCTTCACTATCCAAGAATCATCATCAACTTGTCTTTGACGTTTATTAGTACGCCGTCTACTAGTGGTGCTACCGGTGTCAGAAGCGACAAACCTACCATCTCTAGCCCTTCTACCAACCACTACACCTGACGTATCATCATGCTCACCACTCTGATCAAAATTACCCTCAAACTCCTCCATCTCCTCAGACTCACTAGCTCGTCTGTGATCAGGCTCGTCGTCAAAAGGAACAAATACATCATCAGAAGCACCATCAAAAACAGACTTTCCCAATCGTGCATCATCCCTTTCTCTCCTAACAGAGGCATCGATGTTTCGGGCTCGAGTGTGTCGCGGCCCTGAGCTAGTCAACACATCATTCACTGCAATTGATTTTCCACCTTGTCGCTATTTAATATAATAATAAAATTTCAAATTATTATATTCATAATTCTAACAATATTTATTATTATTTCAAGCATTATTACTAATAATTTTACTATTAAACAATATACTGTTCAAATCATTTTTTTTAAATAATATATTTCAGTTTTCAGTTGATTAAACAATATACTATTCAAAAATTTATATTTTCAGTTGGTTTTCAGTTGATTAAACAATAACAATCATTTTTTTTAAACAATATACTTTTCAAAAATTTTATGACTAATTTGAAATTAACTTTAAATAAAAAAGATATATTTTTAGTTGGTTTTATCTTAAAAAAAAAATTTAGTTAGTTGTTATAAAAAAATTTAAACAATGATTACATTTGGTTTTTTAGTTATAAAAAAATTTTTTTAAAAAAAACAAGAAAATAAAAATCCCCACAACTCATGTTAGTTAGTTGTTACCTCCAAAAAAAACAAGTTATTTGGATTTTATTTAAAAATTATCCATGTTTACTTTGTTGACAATTGTAAAAAAAGAAAATAAATAAAAATTGTTGACAATTATCTACGTAGTCTTTGACTCTTTCAAGTATAACTTTTTTTTTTAAGGAAAAAACTGCTTTTTTTTATTAAATTAAAACTGCTGTTTTAAATTAAAAAAATAATAATAATAACTACTATCTTAAATCATACATATATATCTTAGGAATAAAGATAAACTGATTCAAAACAAAAACATTGATGATCATGGAATAAAGATAAACATGGATCAAGTAAAACATGATTAATATTTAAATTTTATTATCAAATAAAATATTAATTCGAATTCAAAAAAAAAAATACCGTAATTAAAAAAAATATATTAATTCGAATTAAAAAAAAATATTAATTCGATTTTTTTTTTAAAAAATAATAATAAAATTACCATAATTCAAATTACATTACTAATTTTATCACCAATTCAAAATTAATTTACGGATGACAATTCGAAATTAAAAAAAAAAACAAATTACAATCATAATTCGAAATTTAAATTCAAAAAAAAAAAACCATAGTCGCGTGCTATATGCGACTCCACCACGGCATAGTCGCATATAACATGCGATTATACCGTGGTACAGTCGAATATAGCATGCGACTACACCATGGTAGAGTCGCGTGCTATATGCGACTGTACCGTGGTATAGTCGCACGCTATATGTGACTGTACAGTGGTGGAGTCGCATATAGCACGCGACTATGCGATTTTATGCGAAAATAAAAAAAAATTACCGACGAATTGGCCGGCGTTTTCCCCGCGTTTCCCGGCAAACGAACCCCCTTCCCACGCCGCGATTCCATTGTCGTCAGCCCCTTCCTTTTTCCGGTTGATTTGGTATGATAAGTGGTTGATTTGGTGTAATAGATAGTGAGAAATTGAATGATTCCGGCGACCTTTGGGTGGTGGTGGTGATGGTGTGTACGGTGATGGTGATTCCGGTGACGGGTGGTGGTGGTGATGGTGGTGGAAAGAGTATAATTGGTGAGAAAAATTGAATAATGTCAAACATAAAATTTATAAGGGTAGATGAGTCATTTAATACCGCGCCCTAATTAATTGTGGCATTTAGTAACACCCTTTAAAAATGGTAAGAGTTAAAGTAGTCAACAATACAGAGTACACAAGATCGAATAGCCCAAAGTTTAGGGTGGGAGACTTCAGTCTTTCTCTCTCCTCAGTTCTTCCCCAACAATAGCTTCTTCAATTACATGTCAATTACAATCAACAAAGCTTCAGATCATCCCATTTCTTATCAGCTGAATTCGTTGATTAGTACTTTTCTGGGCATCTCCAACAACCCCAAGAAGCCCCAACACCATGATTTACTGCAGCAATTAGCGGGATCCATTAATGGTGGTAGCAGAGCCAATTTTTTGGGGTTCTGGTTTAATGCTCTCAAAGTACTTCCATTTATGCTCGTGATTTCTCGGTAGCTGACAGTTTTTTCTGGGTAATTGCTTCCTTATTTTAATTTCTTATAATTTTATGATTTGTTAATTGATAGATTAATGCATTGATTGTAAAATTTGGGTTTGAATTTCATATTTGATTGATTATTATATGCTTAATTTGATACTGAAAGATTTAGGATTCCCTACTACTTTGATGACCTAGGGTCCTGTTAAATTGAAATTCTTAATGAATTGTTAGTTACTGGGTTGTTGCTGTTCTATAAGTAATAATGTACCGGGGACATTTTGCAATTATGTCCATTTCTGAACATTTTAGTATTACTGTAGCAGTTGAAACTTAAAAGGGTGCATTTTTCGAGCATTCTATGAACTTGGACTTGAGAAACCATTTCAATGGGTGTGTGTACAAGTGTTAGAATCGGATAATTTATGGAAAAATTTCAATGCTTTTAATCAAAATTGAGATGTTGAAACTATCCATACCTATGTATGAGTGTCAGGGTCCGGCATGGGTACTTTTGAAAATGATGGGTCATGTATATAACTAACTAATAATCGCTTTGTGTTTGTGTTGCTACTTGCTATGTATTGAAATGTGTGTTAATGGCTCTGGTGAAATACTGATTTAGGCTTTGAAGAGGATTTCAATTAGTGCCTTAGTGGTGCTTTTGATCAGGATTTTACTTCCTTCGTTTCGTTCTAGATGCATTATTTATAAAAACACGGACTTTTAGGCCCTTTTTGGTTGAAGGAATTTGGATGGAAAAGAAAAGAAAGGAAATTGTTTTAATCAAATTCCCATGTTTGGTTGAATAAATGACATAAAAATCTAAAGGAAAGGAAGGGAAGTGGGAGGAAAGTCTCTTAACAAAATTTTGGCTTTCCTTTCCTCCCAAAATCGGAGGAAAGAGAAAAATAAAAGTAATTTCCTTTCTCTTCCCTTTATTTCCTATTCATCAACCAAATATTGGAAAATAAAATCACCTTCCTTTCCCTTCCCGTCCTTTCTCTTCTTTTCCTTTACTAATATTGAACCAAACAAAGCCTTAAGAAGTCTTTGGAGATGAGAGAAATAGAGATTAGAGAGACAGAAAATAGAGGACCCATTTGCTACTTGAGAGAGATGGAGAATTTATTAACTAAAAAGAAAATTGTGCATCTAATTTGAAACTTCCTTATTTAGAAAGTGATGCATCTAACACGCAATGGAGTAAGTATAATATACAACAACAAAATTTTAGTCACAAAATGATTTGGGGTTGGCTGACATGAATTGTCATAAGGAACCGTTCGGCAAAGATAAAAGGACACAAAGTATTACATTTTGCATATACTAGCTGTTTTTTGTGATAGATAAATTAACGATACAGACTGCTTAGTCTTGACTCTTGTTTCTATTATCAATGGCCTTTGATTCTTCCAAGTTCATGAATTATTTTCAGAGCCTCATGTAGTAGGAACTTATGGACTGTCCATCAGAGATCAGTCAGTCCTCTGGTTTTTATAGTTAAACCCAACAGTGGAGTAACCTTTTGCTATTCGAAGTATCAACTATTGAACAAATGTTTGATTAGAAGAACTTGCTTCCTCCTTGTTTTTTCTTTTGAGAAATAACCAGTAATTTGAAGTCGGAATCTCGAGCAATTTCTATGCTGCAGCTTACCTGATTTGATTGACAGTAGTATTTATCTGCTGCATTATGAGGGAGCCAACAGTTCCTTTGGTGCTGAATTCAACAAGAACTTCTGTGGCCATTTCTGTTTTGTATTTAGTGTTTGTGATGATATTTATGAACCAAACTCCCCTTTAGTCTTAACCTAGTGTGATTTGCATTGATTGATAGACTCCCCTCAGCAACAAATTCTGGTGCTTTGAAAAAACTCTCTACTTGGAAGGCTAGATCAATGGAAAAATTTCGTATGAGCTCCCTCAATACCAAAACCTAAAATTCTTCACCTCCGGGCTTCTGTGATTGCACTGAAATCACCCGATACTGGTGACTGGAAACTAGTTCCTAACGGTGCTTCCTGTCATCACCATTCTCTCCTCTTTATTTTGCTTCTACTCCAGCTAGGTGTTCTACCTGAAACCACCATACTGCACTACTACCCACCACTTCCCACAACCTTTTTGATCCTGCAAATCACACCCCTATTTTGTAGGTAGGTTTTGTTTTTCTTCTTCTAAGTTCATTCTTTAGAGCAATAATTAGTAAGTTATATTTTGAATTAAATTTTTTGTGGGCATTTTGGGGTATATACTGTTTTAGTCCTAGCAAATACTGTTATTGAAATGTGATAGGCCGTCGTCGAGCCTACCAAAGATAAAGTCTTATCTTGGTCTCACTAGCTAATAGCAAGGGTAAGAAAGGGTCGAACCCAAGAGAGACGTTGAATCAACCACCGAGATACTACCGTTTAAATAAGCTAAATGAAGTCGAAATTGGTTTGGTTTTATGTAACATGTAATAATTCAATTCAACTAATACTAAGGGGTGATTAACAATATTTAGAGGATTCTAGGGCTCGAGATACACCACTCAACTTCGTCACAAATCACAAATAACATGTAGCAACAATGGTAAATTAAGGGGATAAAATAGGGGAACTCATCTAAAGCACCCAACTACTCTCTTAAGCTAGAGGGATTACTCGAATCATGAATACAACCTACTCTCGTGGTTACAAAGCATAAAACAAGTATTAAACCATAATCATGATGACAAAAACATTCCCTTTACTGGAAATTCCTATTCTCATGGCATTTCAAGTCAATTAAGCATAAGGGAGCTAACTCAAGTTCATCTCTCGATCCTTCGTTGAGAAAACTTAGATAATAGTTCTAGCAATGGCCATATACAAGAACTAAGCAATTAAACCACTTAAGCTCAACTAATTAACACCCAACAATTACCAAATTAACACATGCAACAAGTAATTAGTGAATTAGTGACTACATTGAGGGTTTTACCCAAACCCTAGAAAATTAGACTGTTCACAATCCATGGAGATTAAAGCAATTAAGGATTTCAAGTAACTCATGAACTAGATTTAACTAAAGATTAAGCTAAATAACAATCTAAGCATACAAGGATTAAGCAAGATAATTAACAATCAAAGCAATTAAAATGGAAGAGAAGAGTGAGAAAAAGTTACCAGAAGCTTCAACTTGAATAACAATGGTGGAACTTGTCTTCTACAATGATTGAGATTGAAATTTCTAAGCTATTAATTAAAATCTAACTAATGATTTGAGAATATTTATGTTTCTACAATTACAAACTAAGAGGAAGCACTAAAAACTTGGATGTCGTACAAATGAACTCAAGGGGTTATGTATAAAGACCCCCAAATAAAAAAGACGGAGAAAACAAGAGTCGGACGCGGCTACAGGTCTCCGTGCTGAGGCAGGCACGGACGTGCAGACAAATCTGCACGGACGTGCTGAGGTAGGCACGGACGTGCCAAATGTGGCACGGACGTGCATGCCTTGAACTTAAGGATCAGTTTTGAAACTGATTCGAGCTGGGCAAATTGCACGGACGTGCTAGAATCGGCACGGACGTGCTGAGTATCTTGCACGGACGTGTCTAATTCTGCACGGACGTGCAGGATCTGGAAAATGCAAACTTCCCGGTTGGTCCGTGCAAACTTCCTGGTACGTGCAAACTTCCTGGTTCGTGCAGGCTCTCTTAGGCCCTTTTCTTCACTTTTTCTTCGGTTTTGCTCCATTGTCTCGGCTTCTAACCTCGGTTTATCATCCATATGCTTCAAATGGTCGTCTTTGGACCTAAAAACTCAACAAAAACACTAACAACCCGTGAAGCAAGGGATACATAAAAATTGAACGAAAGTAGAGTAGAAGTGAACTAAAATGCCAATATATCAAGTAGACAAGGTTCAAAATAACTTTAAAATCATATCAAATAACAAGTTATCAAAATGTTGTATAATGACTACTATAAATTTTAACCTTTTAAATAATTAGAGTATATTTTTAGCGGTGTACACAAAGTGTATTGACAATCTCAATTGAGCAGTGGCGGATTCAGGATTTTGGTGAGTCACCATCAATAACTGATCACTTGTTTCAATCCAAAAATTATATATATGTATATGTAAAAAATATATTTCACCAAAATGATTTCAATCCAAAAATAGGGACATAAAAACCCATACTACAATAGTACTTAAAAATTCAATCTTACAAGTCGAAAGTACGTACTCTAAATAAATAACATGTTACAAACAAATAGTACTATAAAATCATTACATTAAATTAACTTTATTGTACAAGAATTATTAAAAAATTATACGGAGTACACAAAAAATAAAATAGTGAGATAACTTAAGAGACCTGTTATTAAATATAACAGGTCTCTTTAATGAAAAAAAAAGCAGCGCAACAAATATTCATATACAATGTCAGCAGAAAAAGATAACAGGTCTCTTTGTTATTTAAAAAATCTGACAGTGTTAGGCAGCAATAGCAGCAAAGAGACCGCCTATCTATAATAGGAGGTCTCTTTGATATTTTTTTTTAAAAAAAATTCATTTTTTTTTTGCTGGTGAGTCACGTGACTCATCATGCACCTACATAGTTCCGCCCCTGCAATTGAGTGTGTGTGTTTTTTTTTTCTTTTTGGGTATTTAGGAATAATTAATATTAGCTTTTGTCATATAATTTTCAATCTATATTACTTAAACTCTTCATTTCACATTTTCACCTCACATACTCGTGTTGACACTCAGGCATGGGTATGAGCGTATGAGACTTGGACACTTCACTTTTAGTTCAAAATCATGAAATATTTTTCACAATATAGCCGAGTCGGATGCTTGGACACGTACCCGTGTCAGACATGGGTACTCGAATCCAAGTAACATAGATTTCAATCATGTTTAATATCATCCCAATGTATGTGTTTGATTTTTTTTTTTTTAAATTTTTTTAATGTTTTGTTTAAATTACATGACTTGTGTGCTTGCTAAAAAGATGTTTAATTTAATAAGCTCTAATTTGATGTTTTGAAATGCAACTATAAGCTCCATAATTTAGTAGTATTAGTACCATCTAATATGTAATGTTGCATTAGAAGTATAATGCTAATTTGGCAAGCTTTATCTATTTACTTACGTTATTGCATTCTATTACAAGTTAATGTATTGTAGTTTCATTGGAATTTTATTTTAAACCGATATAATTTTGGAGTTTATTGGTTTATAGGTTTTTGCGCTTTTGATATTGAGATATTCTCTCTTACCCTTCTTTCTTCCTCCATATCCCTTTTTAATAGTTCCTAACTTCCTTTAATGTATTGATGCACTTGTAATTTTTTTTTTAACCTTTGCTATTAACAATTCTTTATATGCAATGTCCTTATAATTATTGAATGACAAATATGACTAGTGAAGAGTGAAAAATCTGAATATATAGCTGATTGATGATTGGGATACTGGTACAAATTTTGAAGTACATAAACTTTATCAAATGCATCATCATTATCATAACCTGAAGTACCTTTTTAAGACTTAATAGTTCGTGTTTTGGTATCATTATTGAACTTATCCCTTCTAGGAGGTGAAGGTATGCCTTTATATGAAGGAATATCACATGCTGTTGATTCTATATGTTGACAAGCAATTACCTATATCTTATACTGAGAAAGTTAAATGATGACATAAAGTATGGATACCATTACTAGTGCAGTTAGACGTACAAAGATGGTTTAGGTAAGAGAAATAAGAAGCTTTTGGAAGCTTGCATCCCAGAATTGAAATTTGTCGATTTGGTAAAATTAGTCACCTGGCTCCACATATGCTTGAATGCTGAGCTTATTTATGTGTCTCTCTTTTTCTGTCAGAAATGGATCGTTCTTGGATGTATGGTAAACGCAACACGCGTGAATTTTTGGACGGGGTTAAGGAGTTTTGTAGACGTGCTAAAGAGCACCAAAAGAGTAGTGGAGAGGATGAAATTTATTGCCCTTGTCGTGACTGCTTTACTGTAAAGAAATTTAGTGATATAAAAATCATAGAAGAACATTTGATTCGTCGTGGGTTTAGGCAAGCGTACCATGTGTGGCTTTGGCATGGTGAAAAACTAGTTTCTGGGGAAACTTCTAGTGTACATGATATTCAGCAGGAGGAGAGTGATGAATCTGATGAGAGTGAACGCGAGAGCTGTGAGAGTGATGTAGGGGATGAAGACAATGATGACGAGGAAGATTACATGGATGAGATGATGGATGGGGTAGGGGATCGTTTAAATGAACGAGGCAACAGACGAAGTAGGGGTCCGACGAAAGAGGTTCAAGTCAAAGAGCCTATGTTTCTTGAGTATGATGATCTTGGTCAGCCAGCGGGTGATTGGGAGCACGTTTATGCGAGACATCTTGGTAGCTGTGCTAAAAAAATTAACATTAATGTCAAGCAGTATCGATTAGTACCTGAAGCCGACAAGCAAACATTATGGAATAAGACAAAGGTTAGAATTGGATATAACCTAATTTATGTAATGTAGTCGATGTTGGTTATTAACATCAGTTAGTTTTCTGATTACACAGGCTTTGTTCCACATTGAAGATGGTCCAACAAAGGAAAAGGAAAAGTTGTTTCATTCTGGAGTGGCCAGCCGATTCAGAGGTTTTAAGACAAGGTTAGTGAGTCGTTGGATCACTAAGACAACGAAGCCTCCAGAAAAGAGTGCACACTTAATGCCCTGGGAAATTTACAAGGGAATCATCACAAAAGTGGACTGGGAAAAGTTTGAAGGAGATCGTACCACTGATGAGGCAAAGGTGATTGTAATATCAAAGGATATAATAAAGAAAGATGTTAGTTAATATTGACGCACAATATGTAATCAAAATATCAATAATGCTTATTTATTTTCTAATCTAATAGGCTATTAGTGAGAAGGCAAGGAAGAACGCAAAACAGAACAAGCACTATCATCACTTAGGGTCGAAGAGTTACAGGAGGAGCAAAGAACAGTGGATCAAGGATGGAAGATACCCTACTGATACTGATGGATCATCATCTTGTAGAGTAGCTAAACGAGGCTTGGAATGGCTATTGGCAAGACAAGTGCCTGGTGAAGGAGGAACTTGGGTTATCACAAACGATGAAACACGGAAAGTTGCCAAAAAATATGTAGGTATTGTTGAATGAGAAATTTGTTGCTGTAAATTGACGATATCTAATGTATATAAATGTGTCCTAATTGCCAATAGGAGGAGTATATGCAACAACAGGCCAAAGGGACTTTTATTCCACAGCGGAATGTGGATGCCCTGTGCATGGCTCTTGGGAAAAAAGATCATTCTGGCCGTGTTTATGGATTAGGGGGACTTAATGTTGGCCATCGCAAGGCCTTTGGCAAGCCAGACCCAAGGGTCTCTGAATTGAACCAAAGGCAATCATTGGAGGAAATGAAGGAGAAAATCAAAGCTTCCTTGATGGAGGAATTTGAACAAAAGCTGAAAGATCAAGTGGAAATCCAGGTGAAGCAAGCACTGGCCTCCATGATGCCACAAAAATTGCCCCAAGCCACCAGTTCCAATCTATCACCACCTATGTTGACGGTAAATACTTACTCAGTCGACAATTTAAAAAAAATTCCATTTATACTCAAAAAACACAATATAGTATCTTGCATTAAGCTATTGAACTCTTGATGTATAGGCTTCGAAAACATGTCGTCTTGCTGTGTGGGATGCCTACTCTGGGAACAAAATTGTTGTAGCAGGTGGTACGGCATATCCCTATGGTGATGGGCCAATGTGCAATCAATCGATCATGCCTGCCCACATGAAGGTATGTATCAATGATCCTTACAGTGATTTTGTCGATGTTGACCTCCCGGTACCTGTGGAAGGTGTCACTAAGATTGGTGAAGCTCGAGACAATTTTGTGCAATGGCCCGCAGCCTTAGTGTTGTTTGAAGATGAGGTGAGGACTGATATTGGACTCAAACTTATTTTAGTTTTCCTACCTGGCGTAGTTTGAGGTCTTTTTGTATTATTCTCCAAGTCATATTTTTGACTCAGATTATAAATAGATGTACATTGACTCAGATTATAAATAGATGTACATACATTGACTCAGATTGGAAAACTTGATCCTAATTGACCCAATATAGATCAAACAAAAGAGTGCATATTTTTGCTTTAATTCCACCTAAAGCTGTCCTAATTTGTTCTAAAAAGGCTATAGGCCTTGATTCACTCAAAATGAAAGTGGAACCTTGTTATCCCAAAATATAACCCATTTTCTATTTATGGTTCTGTAATATTACCTAAATTAGCAACGTTCGGTGTTTCAAACTATTTTGTCCAAATTGGCCCTATATAGTCCCTACTTGAATTATAATAGAATTTTGTGAGCTAATATGACTCTATTGACGATTGAAAAATGATGTTAGGAGGCCATCCCAGAAGAAAGGTATGAAGGAAACAGCAATGAAAAGGTTGACAGCAGTGATCTTCAATCAGGAGAGTCAGCAACCAATGTCAAAGGGTCATCACAACAAGTTGGGGAAGACATGGTTGCTTCCAATGGTGAGAAAAGTAAGCTGTTGCAAGTGCAACTTGTCATGGCGAGTCAACCGGAGCGGTATGATGTCACAACGGTTCTGTTGGATGCAAAAGTGTTCCACTTAGAAAAGGACACTGAAACTCTTATCACAGCGGAGGACATCAACCTGTTACTCAGAGGGGCAAGGCTGAGCATTTCCGTTGTTCAGGTCTTCATGATGTAAAATTTTTTACCCTCTTGATCCTTTGAATCTGAATGATTTAACGAAAGCTGTGCATTTATCATACATTTGACACAACTTTGATACACAGGTTTCTAATTGATAGATACATCTCTTCTTTTGATTCGTCACATATTGGGTTTCTTTGTCCCCAAACAATCGCTGCATCTAATGTCCGTCACCAGACTCACCACCATCAAGTCACTGCAGACTACATAAGGGATGTTTTCTTATCCAGTAGGGATAGGGGTGATGCTGGATACCAACTCATACTGGCTCCATATTATGAAGAGTATTTATGAACTCCAAACTTATCTATAATTATGTTTAATTGTTTGTAGTAGAGTATGAATTTTTCATTAATTATGGTAACTTAACAGTTAACATGTCTTGTAATTCATACAGGGAGCACTGGATACTCATTGTGATTAACCTTACATGCGGCAAAGTCTTCAAGTTCGATTCCTCCAAGGCTAAAAAGGGGAAATCTTTGACCATAAAAGACTGTTTAGATATGTAAGAAGAAAATTTGTGCACCATAAATTTTGACTAAGAAAGTTTTTTTGTGTGATGTAAAAGCATTAATAATCTCATGTTTGTGTGTGTATGCATGTGCAGGGCTTACAATGTCTATAAGGGTAAGGGTAAGGGTAGAAAGGGGCGCAACTCTAAACTGAAATGGTTTTCTATAAAGGTATATGATGTTAGTTAATATGTATTGTTAATCTCTAATAACTAGATACGTGTATCTTGACATTTTATGAATATCTTTCTTATATAGTGTGCTCAACAAACTGGTGATACTGAGAGTGGCTTTTATGTCATGAAATTTATGCATGAGATAGTCACATTATATGGTGATTGTCAAAATATGGATAAGGTATGCATCATTTAAGAATTATTGTGGCTTTAAGTTGCAGTAAATTAAGTTTTATTTTAACTTGTGTGGTCTAATTCATGGTCGTCAAAGGAGTATCAAAGACGAGATGAGCCCTACACTGATGAGGAAATCAATGAGGTTCGAGAGCAATGGGCGATCTTTTTTGGAGACAAGTATTTGTGAAAAACCTACTTAATTGACAACCTTGACGACTTTTTGTAAATATAATCTCAAGGTTATATGCATTAATTAACTTCTTATATATGCTCTACTATGTTATTTATATATTATAAACTATATATACTGCGTATATGTGATGTTAATGATGGTTTTGTGTGGCATACAGGGTGATATCGTGTTGATTTGTTGCTGGCGGTATTTTGAGAATAGGTCTTGGTGGAGTTTAATTTCGTGTGATTAAAGGTTTTTCTAGATTTTAAATATTTGGTGGATCAAGTACAGGAACTTTGCTGAACTTCCCCTTAAATGTAGAGTTAGTGGTGGTGCTCGAGACTTTTGGGGTTATGGTGGTTTTTCAGGGCTAGCTCCCGGTGGTGGAGGAGGAGGGAGGTCTTGGTGGCATTTCAATTTTTTAGAAAATCAGGTAGGATCGATTTTCTGTAGCATAACCCTATGGCCTGCAACAAGTAAGCTCATCAACTAGCAAAAAACCAGACCTTTTGCTATAGCATTTAGGCATTACATCCTCTTCGGCCAAAAAATCATGGACTTGTTGCTGCCACTTGTGCAGCTGGACGAGCCTGCAATTTTCATATTAATGCTCGGTGCAATTGATGTTATTTCTACTGGTGGTACACTGTACACAGCTACCTCTGACCTCAATTGTGCTCTGCTGTAGTTGTTGAGAAACAATACTCATATCATCATATGTATGGAATTATGGGTATTTAAAACATATTTTTTATCAACAATTTGTTTGGTTCTATCATATATTCATATGTATTGCTGTGTACAATCATATGTGAGTTGTTTGCTTTGATCTCTTAGGCACAGGCTAAAGTACAATGTAATATGCTTCATCTTGTTAAACCAGCTACAAGGCTTCAGATATTTCAAGTAAAAGCTGTTATATGCAGAAATGCCCACAACTGCATATGCGCAATTTGGTTCTTGGATATTTTTATTACATCAGTTGATATGCTTTTGTTATGGAAACTTTGTTGCATAGAACAAATTCATTGTTATGTTAAAGCCACAACATCAATGAAAGTATGCTATCCTTTAGGGTATGGTAGGTCCGTGGGCAATCAGGAGGGCGGGATACATGGATATAGTTTATAGTTTATGAGAGTTTACAGTTAAATACAGACCCTCTGCAGAGATTCCCTACAGAGTCCACACCACTGAAGCTTGTAGCTACATGCATTAGATGTTGAAGACGAATAGGAGAGTGAGAGCAAATGGTTATTGTTTGACTTGATGCTAAAACAGATGATTAACCCGGATTTAATTATTTGACTAATCATCTGTGCTTCTGGGTGAAACGGGATGAGCTCATATGTGGGGATAAGAGACCAAAGATCTGTCATGAGACTTGATATTGATACTAGAGGACTTGTAAATGAGTTATTTGAATTACAAATGTGTATGCTGTCTTTTCAAGCTGACTTTATGTCATTGGTAATTCTGATATGTAGTTCCCCCTCCTCCCCCCCCCCCCCTCCCCCCCACCTATTTTTTTTTACGAACTTCCTTTGTTGATATGTAGTTCAAAATGATAGTAGTGGTTGGGTGAAATTTTGTGTCGGGTAAGGATTTTATACCCCTGTCAGAGTGTCGAATGACTGATAACAGCTGGGTTTGTTTTGAATGCTTATAATTGATAGGCTGGTACATTAAGGTTGATGCTTGTAGTGAGCCTTTGGTGATGTACAGAAGAATGATTATATTTTAGTTTAAAGTCATATTCTGTGCTTGTGGTTGCTGTAGGGATAGAGAAGTAACAGGATATTGAAACTATTATGAGATAAGTGAAAGACGGAAAGTTTGGGATTAAGGTCTGATATATGCATGGTCACTACTTGTATTGGAGTTGTTAGAATGACTGAGAAAACTGATGAAGCGCTTAGAATTCTTAAAAGAATTGATGACTGAGAAATTGAGCTGCTGTGAAGACAAGGATTATCTTTTGTAAAGAAACCTTGGGGAGTTGGAGTTGAATGAGAATTAATGGATAAGCTGCTGACACTGGTTGTTACCTTCACCATTCTAAGAATTGAAGCCTTTGATCAGTTAGACGTCGTGGGGGTAAGAAGGGATCTTGCCAGATATTCGTACATACAACTGATTGGCAGCCTTGAGGAAATAGGTTGGAGGTAGCACCAAATTTTATTGGAAAGCAAGATAAATAATTGGGGATGAAGATTATAGATGTCAAAACAATTGCGTTTTTTATAGTATTCTGATTGATGATTTAACCAATATTGTGATCCAGATACTGTTTGACAGGATGTTTATAGAAGTCCAATGATCCCTGAATCATTTCCTATCCTTGTTGACTGTCTAATGACTAATGGTCATGCCGTTGGTTGGGATCGTTTTCAGGAATTGAAATTGCAGGACCTTATGATCACTGGCTTGGGAGATCTGGGAATCGAGATGCACTCACTCTATAAGGTGAGCTGCAGAGAAGGTTTCCCTTGATCTCATGACTTATATAGTTGTATTCCTGCAAATTTTTGCTGCCTACTGGCCATACTATCGGGTGATCCTGAATTCTGACAGTAAAATCTCCATTCTGCTTCCTAATCTGTCTCAACTCTCTGAATCTCTGGACGGATTTCTCTCCTTCAATATTAAATCACCCGTGATGTAATTTTGTTATAATTTCAGAGCTGCATCTGATCTAAGGCTTTTATTCTGCTCAGATAAATACTCTCTATGACCTGTGTTTACTCAATTTTTAGGGAGAAACTAGCGAGTCTTAAAAAAACTCAAGAACAACTTGTGTTTAACTCTAGCTCTGCTGTAGCTAGAGTGGAGCTCCATCTAAGATTTCCAAGTCTATGATGCTCAAACTCGAGTATATGAATACAGTTGAGCTTAACTGCTCAGGAGTCAGGCTTGGGGTAATTTTAAGTACGAGTTTATTTTAATTATTGCCCAGTTAATCTCCGAGATTAACATTCCAAGTTAATCTCTTCTCACAACTTTATGCATATATTTTCGTGCCACTTTATAATTTCACCTTTATTATTTAAAAAATAAAAGTAAAACAATATACTGTGAGAAGAGATTAACTTTTCATGTCAATCTCAGAGATTAACTTGAATTCTCCCATATTAATACTACCTCCGTTTTTTATTAGTTGCAACTTTGGGATATTAATTGTGTGAGATAAAAAATTCCAAAGTTGCAACTAAAAAAAATGAAAGGTAGTAATACTCATAACTGTATCAAATGATTAATGAAAACATATCACTTGACACTTTAAACCCATTAAACAGGGTCGTGATATAGTAAAATTTGTCGTACACCAAAAAAAAAAAAAAAGTAAAATTTGTAATATAAGGCTAAAAATGTGTTGAAAAAATAAGCTTTGTGATTAAAAGTTGAGACCATTCTAAATTAGTTGGTAGTGTCAATTTTTCAATTAAATAATAAGGTATAGGAAAAATGTAAACTAATAATCCCACCTTTAGTCGGTCTTCCACAAACAATCCCACTTTTTGGGATTCCAGAAATAATCCCACCTTTGATAGGGATCTTCCACTAACAATCCCTTTGACCTACAACCTGTTAAACAGGTTAAAAAAAATTCCCTTTATTTTTAAAACTTAATCTCTTCTACGACCACCAGCCACCACCGTGGTCACCCCAACCCTCACCCTTTACCGCCACCTCCACCCATTAGGCCACTACGAAACCCCCAACCACGCCGGAATACCATCACCACCCCCAAAACCCGAGCCTCACTCAAATTACACCACCCACAACCTCGAAAACACCACTGACTGCCCCCGAAAACACCATCCACAGCCCCAAAAACACCATCAAAAGCCACCGAAAACACCACCCACAACCCCGAAAACACCACCCACAACCCCAAAAACACTATCCACAGCCCCGAAAACACCCACAGCCCCGAAAACACCATTGACAGCCCCAAAATAAACACCATCCACAGCCCCCAAAACCACTAACACCCCCGAAAACACCGCCCACAACCCCAAAAACACCAATGATAACCCCGAAAACACCACCCACAACCCCAAATAACTCCTCTTGGCCCTAAAAACTCAACCCTTAGCCTGAAAAACTCCATAAAAACCACCCCATGAAACCCACCTATACAAAACCCACCACCCCCACAAAACCCAAGTACCACCCCGACGAAATCCCACCCCCACGAAAAATCTCAAAACTTCGTGTGTTCGAATTACATCATCGTTGAACTCCGGGATTGTGCGAAATTGATGGTTGTGGAAGGGGTGTGCGACTGGTGGTGTTTTCAGGGTGGTGGTTGCCGGAGAATGCAAGGGCGGGGATGGGGAGAGGAGTGCAGTGGCAGGTTGGGCTAGTGGCGGGGCTGGGGGTTTTCTTCTTTATTTTTTTTAATTAGATTTGTTTTTTTTAATTATTAAAAATCGGACTAAACCTATTAAAAACCTACACGTGTCTTTTAATTTAAGAAAATCGGTTACCAAAGCAATCCAACCGGTCAGGGATTGTTAATGGAAGATAGGGGCAAAAGGTGGGATTATTTCTGGAATTTCAAAAAGTGCGATTGTTTGTGGAAGACCGACTAAAGGTGGAATTATTAGTTTACATTTTTCCTAAGGTATATTTGTTTCAAATTATTTGCTATAATTATACAGTTTTTATTTACACTTCATACAAACTCGATACAAGTAATTTAAAACAGAGGTACTAAAAAGATCGATGACAGAGGTCGTTTGGTCCCTGGTCTCAAATTATCCACACATATATAAAGTGTGGCCAGATTTTAGAGAGAGAAAGGATAATAACATTTTTGATACACTCACATTTTCTCTCTCCTCTGTTTCTCCACACTTAACCATGGCTTCAATCTCATGTTCTATCCAATTTGCAATCAATTCAAAACCTTCAACTTCTCATTCATCAACCTCTCGTTTGTTGAACTTGCGAAATGGGTTTCTGGGTATGCCCAGAAACGTAAGTGGGCCCAAATTCAAGCCCACTACGAAGCTGGGACCCACTAACGGTGGCAGAGCTAAGTGTTGGTTCAAGTTTAATGCTGAAAATGCTGGCATTTATGGTAGCCAATCTCGTGATGATTTTGATAGAGATGATGTTGAACAAGTAAGTTTTTTGTAAGACTTTTGTTAATTTTATTATAATTCTCTGTTAATTTTTGAATTACTTGTTCTGCTTCTATTTAAATTTATGTTCCAAGAATAAAAAAAATGTGTATTATGTTTCGTGCGTTGGTGAATTTCTATTTGAATATACATGTTTTTAGATTAGTAGTTTTGTGCATATGTCAATGTATAATTGGTACTTCAGTCTGAATATAGTTTTGAAGCATAATTTGAACTAGTAACGTGATGATTAAAGACCTATTTACTTCAGCTTAATTTCAGTTCAGTTCAGCTCCAATCAGTTTAGCTCAGTTCAGTAAATGTGTAGATGTCTAAATTCCGACGAAGTTTAGTTGTTTGATCCTAGTAGTTGGTTGCATATGTCAATGGTATAGGTAACTTTAATAATAATAACCAAATGTCCGGAGACAAAAATAATGTTTAGTTGATCCAAGGGTTACTTCATGTCATCGTGACAATGTCATAGGCTACATTATTTGATCTTTAATAAACTTAGGGGCCGTTTGGTTCACCCAAGGGAATCGGAATGGAATGAAGAAAAGTAATCAAAGAGAATGGAATGAAACCCATTCTTTTTAACATGTTGTTTGTTTTAAAAAAAAAACAAACAAGAATCACACCACCATAGCACCACCACGACACAACCGCAACACCTCTAATTTCAACAGTTATAGGTACCCACATCTTAGCCGCCGCCCCTCCCGCCGTCGACGCCCCTCCCGCCGTCGCCGCCCCTCCCGCCGTCGCTGCCCCTCCCGCCGTCGCCGCCCCTCCCGCCGTCGCCGCCCTTCTTCGCCGCCACTCCTGTGCTCGAAAACCACCCCTCCCAATCTCCTATCACGCAAAAACCCTAAATAATCCTCCCTCTCCCCTCAAAACCGTCGGCCGCCGTTACCTCCACCCTCGAAACCCTAGCTGCTAGGGTTTCGAGGGTGGGGGTAACGGCGGCCGACGGTTTTAAGGGGAGAAGGAGGGTTTTCGCGTGAGGGGAGAGGGAGGGTTTTCGCGTCAAGGCAAGGGAGGGGGGTGGAGAAGGACCGGTGATCTCCGGCGACGATGGGGGGAGGAGTGACGATCTCCGGCGACAGATGAGGAGAGAGCAAGGTGGTCGAGGGAGATCGGTCCTTGGGCGGAGGCTGATGAGGAGGGGCGGCGACGATGACGGCGAGCAGCGATGACTGGGAGAGGCAGAGGTGGCTGTACGGTAGGGTAGGGCAGCAAGGTGGTGGTTGGTGTGAGGTTGGTGGTGGTGATGGGGGGAATAGGAATGCAAAAGGGGAGGGGGGGTGGGGAATGAGTGTAGAGGGAAAATGGGTGAACCCAAAAATAAAAAGGGGTAAAGGGAATGGGAAAATGTGGCAAACAAACAATAACAAAGGGAATGAAACCCTCTCATTTCCATTCTCTTTGTTTATTACCCCAACCAAACGCCCCCTTAGCTTGGGTGCCTAGTTAAGTGCACTAATTGGTAGGTTTTCAAAAAAAAAAAAAAAGTGCACTAATTGCACACTACCACATTTGTTACCAAAATGTATGTCTCACATTTTGATTTTTATTAGCGATTTACTGAGTTAACACTTTGCTAAAACAAATACTCCGTAGTAGCTTTTTCATTGATCATCAGTTCTGTCTTTTAGAGCTCATTGTCCCTTAAACCCAATCCAGTTACATGGGGACCTAACTTGTTAAGAAGGGAGTGGTATATTTTAAAGAGGTGCTAAAAAATGGATGATTTGCTAGCCAACTAGGTACTGCAGCGAAACCGGTAAACAAGAGCAAACTTATCATATGCTGTAGTCTGTAGAAACTGGGAGGAAGGTCAAGACATAAAAGGTTAAGAAGACTCATTAGAACAACATATAGCAAAAGTAAGAGAAACAAGAAAATAGAAAATATGGTGGCTTTTCACCAACATCTTTAGGATAGAATCATAGTCTGTTAGTCACAAGGACTAGTCCTGGAAAAAATGTGTCATCCTGTGGAATATCAATTTGGAATTGTTAGGGTGTAAACAAATCGCGCCTATAGTTCGTTTCTGTAGTCTATATTTCAGATGCAGCCAGTGCAAATTAATGCTTGTGCTATGATTTTGTGATTCTCTATTTGCAGGATGAGTCTGTTTGTCACAAGGATTTGGTTCTGGAAAAAATGTGCTCATCATGTGGAATATCAATTTGGAATTGTTAGATTGTAGCAAATCGTGCCTGTAGTTGGTTTCTGTAGACTAAATTTCAGAAGCAACCAGTACAAATTGATGTTTCTGCTAGCTATGGTTTTGTGATTCTCTATTTGCAGGATGATCTGCAATGCTTTTGTATTATGTAAACATATAATAGAGCTTATCTTTATAATGTTAGTTTCATTGCATTGTCCGCTTCTCTTGCAGTACTATAACTACATGGGAATGCTTGCTGTGGAGGGTACATATGATAAGATGGAAGCACTTCTGAACCAGAACATCCACCCTGTAGATATCCTACTGTTGATGGCTGCCTCAGAGGGTGACCAACCAAAAATTGAAGAACTATTGAAAGCTGGAGCAAACTACGACGTAAAGGATGCGGATGGAAGAACTGCCCTCGATAGAGCTAGTGATGAGATCAGAGATTTCATACTCAATTTCAAAGCACAAAAGGCATAACATAGCAGTAGGCCTAGTAGCAGTGTTTGAGCCCTGCCTTTTCTTACCATCTTCTGTTTAGATAATTGAGATTGTGGTATCAACACGATGATACCACCTTCCTTTTTGTGTGAGAGAGTCTAGGAAGAATTTTTGCTACTTTGTGTAAAATCTCAGGTCGAATTGCTGTATAAACATGGCTATATCGATATTTAGATGTTTATTTACTTGCTCGGTTGATCCCTGTGTTCCTTATTATCAGACTGCTTAGAAAGTCATTGAACTGTTAATTGAATTTACCATTGCAATATAAATGTCTGTTTCGGTACCCATGTAATATACAACTTCTTAATCTATGTGCTTAACCTAAATTACAGAGGAGGGTGCCAACCATAAAAGTAATCATCACATGTTGTCTATTCCCTAAGACATCAGTCACATTGTAGAATTGTTTTACAGCATTGGACTGAACCTGCTTGTATTATCGCTTTTTAGTCCTCCCGTGTTTCACAGCTTCATTACTACAGTAATTGAGATTGGTGGATAGAACAGTTGGTTAGCTCTCCGACTTGTAAGCAAAAGCGTAGTCAAATCTCACCAAACTCATTTTACGAGTGATTCTTCCTTTGATAGATGTGTCTTCCTTGCTGTATAAAGTCCATTATCACTACAACCAGTAAGAGAGTATGAAGATAACCAGAGCCTGTTTTTATGCCAATATAACCAATGAACTTATTCATCTCCATTTACGAAATGTTTTGATCAATTTCAGAATTTTACATGCATTAACACCTTACAGAGTTACAGGCTTACACCTATGTTACTTGAGTCATTCAATATAAACTAGTACTCCTATGAGTCCTATCCTAATATTTTTGGTCCATGAACAAATGGTAATGTGACAAATATTTAAGAAAGAAAATTTAGATTGAAAAAAAAGTTTGTGAGACTCGATTAGATAGGAGTAAAAGTTTGCCAAATCATTTGATACCTTTAATAAATAAATAAAACAGACAAGTATTATTATTTAATATTTTGTAACAAGTAATTTAAGATGGAAGAAGTAAATAATTGTAAGGATTATTAAAATGGACTCACCTTCTAAAATACAACCCTAACGTCCCTAAGCATATAATTATGCCTAGGCGCCTAGCTAACATTATTTTAAGGGATGTGTCAAAAAAAAAAAACATTATTTTAAGGGAAAAGGGAACTATATAGACTAGTAAAACAAAAGACCTAAAGAATCAATTACTGAACTAAATAGCCCATCAATTAATCCTCACATATTGGAACCTAGTTATAGGCCCAGTACAACTAAAAGAGTCCATTTATACAATAAAACAATAATAAAAGCCCAATTGTAAAACTTATAATTTAGGAGTAAGGTAAAATCAAAAGGGTACTTAAATAAGGCTATAAAGATAGTCATAAGAACGAATGTAGATCCACATCGATTTGTGGCATTTAACTTACCAATCTATAAATTACAACGTAAAACTGTAAAACATGGGAAGCAAAGTGGGCATTATGGTATTAGGAATCACATCATTAACTATCATTATTCTTGTAATTTTTATTTATTTTTTTTTTTTGACAAAGGAGTTTTCAATTTTTTTGGTTTTTAAACGTAAGACTATATGTCATATAATGTATAAAAAAAAATTAGTCTGACTTATTGAAATCATAATTATTAAGAAAACTGAAAACTGATAAACTATTTGGAGGAAAAATTTAACACCACTCGGCTTGAGAATTTTGCTAATATGGCAGATTATTGCAAGGAAGTCAAGCTCCTTGCCGATCAATTAAGCAACGTCGACAATCCGATTTCCGAAAGGAAGATGGTTTTACAACTAATTTCGGGACTGCCTAAGGGTGAGTACGACACAGTGGTTGCATTGATCACTCAAACCGATCCTACACCGAGTTTTAGTGAGGCTCGTTCGATGTTTTTGTTGGAGGAAAACCGTAAAAACAAACAAGAAGAACACGGACCTCACGCTCTCATCGCACAGCAAGCACCTGTCGCCGCCACTTCACTGCCACCATCACAACCACCTACTCAGTCCGACCAGCAACGTGGTGGTGGTGGTCGTGGTAGGCGAGGTTGTAGGGAATAAATTTCAAGCGTTAACCCCCTAGCTTGAACCCCACTGTGATCATACAATAAAGTACGGTGGCGTCCAAAAGGGAAGAAGATAGAGCAAAAGAGTCGCCAACAAGTTTTAGGAACTTGTAAACCGTTCACAGGGTGAAGGTTACACCCCTTAACGATCCAAGAGATCGTCAACTCCATAAGGTCTAGAACCAAATAAGGGTTCGGGGATGAAGGTACAAATCCAACCTAAAAGAGATTGAACCTGCCCTAATAATAGGCCTCTACTTTATTCTGATCGTATTCATGTGCGCTTCCTGACTAACATGCAATCAATAGGATTAACCCTAAACCTGTTTATCTATGTTGGTTGAATATAATGCTCAAATAAACTATTATTGGCGATCACTTGAAATTATAATCAAATTAACCCAAAATAAGATTATTAAATATCTTATTAAGCGTGATTACAAGTACTAATTCCCTTTAAGCATGCATAAAAGGCGTGATCAAGCAATAAAAAATAAATAATGTACCAAGCAACATAATAATAATCATCATCAAAATAAATAATAATAATTATAATCATGATCATAACAATAATCATCATAATAACAATCATATTAATCATAATAATAATCATGTTAGTCATAATAATAATAATTATAAAATTATAATCATAATCAAAACAAATATAAAAATAATCATGAATCATGTTAAAGCATAATAAAAAATAGCAAGATCCTAGGCATGATACTAACAAGACTAATAACAAATCCTAGCATGTCACTAAGCAATAAAAATCAAAGCTTTAGCCTTAACATGATACTAACAATCATAGATATTAGGAAGAACATAAAAGGCATCGTAACAATCATATTTAATATTAAAATTACCCTAGACATGATACTAGGAATATCATAATAAGAATTTAAACATGAACTCTTTATCATAACACCGTTAAAAACCATTAAAGTACTTACTTTGATGCCTCGTACCTCTTTCTAATAACAAAATACACACGTTAGTAACTTCAAGGAAAATAACAAACAAACAATTAAATTAAATAATGGAAATAGAGATTTGGGACCAAACCCTCAGAAATTAAACCTTTCACGTCTAGGGCGAAGGCAACTTCGAATATGGCTAGGTGTTTCTAGATCTTGCGAATGCGGAATTTTGTATGAAAAAGCAAAAGATTAATTTAGAAAAGAGAAAGAGAAAGAATTGATGAATGAGAGGAGAATGAGAGAATTAATTGAATGAATACTGATTGTAATTGAATATTAATTAAAACTGATTGTTGATGAGAATTGGTGAATGAAAACGGAGTTTTTACGACGTTATTTATAGAGAAAATTAGCCAAAAAGATAAATTAACATAACAGAGTCTTGGCGCACGAAAAACAGAGCTGGCGTCAACCCTGGCTAACTGGCGCCAGGCGCCAACACTAGCGCCAGGCGCCAGACCTGTTTTTAACGCGTTTTCGAAAATCAGATAAGTTTTGCCGTACAGGAGGATAAAATCGTATATTTTCCTCAAAAATGCTTTTTGATTTTAATTAAAACTCTGAAAAGTCAACAAAAGTCAATTTATCCATGCTAATTGACTTAGGAATGAAAAGAACCTTCTAGAAGAATCTAGAAGACTAAAACCATTCCTAATTGCATTAGGAATGATAAATCATATTAGGCCCTCCCCAAGATCATTGGGCCGCATACAAGGCTCAAACCGGGCCCAATTCGGTAATTTGGCCATAATTTCCTCCATATTCATCGGAATTGGGCTTATAATATATCGCTGGAAAGCTCTTGTCAAGCCTCATCCAACTACACTACTATTGGACCCATATCATGGACTAACCAAACTGGATTGGCTGTTTTCTTCAAATAAGTTTTCAAAAACAGAGAGAAGAGAAAAGAAATTAAAACTTTCCGCAACACTAAACTTTCCATACTTTCGCTTCATTCGATTATGATTCGACGTGAAAGGTACTCATCACTGGGTTTGGTTTTGGGGAGACACAAATGGGTGTCTACAGAAGCCCCCAGTTTGACTGAGTTTGGAGAAACGCGAGTTTTGAAAACAAAATTCAAAGTATTCGATAGGGACGGAGAATGATTCAGAACGTTCTGCGATCCTAAATCACTCTTGTAACGCCGATACCTGCAAAACTAGCGTTAGTTAAACAGATAAAAGAGTTAAGAAACGCGTATCTTGCACCGTCGAGCACACGTCTCTGAAAGTAACCGATTGTTTTGATGACCTCCTACAAGCTAGAGAGTGCCATCCCGCTTGAAAACCGCTACGCCTGTAACTGCTTCCAATTCCTCCATGATAATATTCCACAAGCCAGGGAACACTATCGAAGATTGCTTCTCCTGAAATAATCCTTAGTTGTTTGTGACAACTCTCCACAAGCTAGGGAACGCCACCTTGCTGTTTCGATGTTCACTCGTCTCTGAACAAAGAGCTTCTTTTTGATATGTTCACACGCCTCTGAACAAAGAGCTTCTTTTTTTTAGTATGTCCACGCGTCTCTGAACAAAAGAGATTTTGAATGATATGTTCACGCGTCTCTAAACAAAAGAGCTTTTGAATGATATGTTCACGCGTCTCTGAACAAAAGAGCTTTGATGATATGTCCACGCGTCTCTGAACAATAGAGCTTGAATGATATTCCCACGCGTCTCTGGAGCAAAGAGCTTTGATGGAAATGTTCACGCGTCTCTGAACAAAAGAGCTTCGATGATTGAATGTTTGTTGCGATAATATTTCGAAGAAAAATTTCCGAAGACCAACGTTTGTCGATCTCTGAAGCTCGCCTGAATTTTTCTTCCGCTAAAACCAGTATGTCGGTGTCTCCGTGATTAGGCGCTTTAAGCTAAGTGAGACAATCTTTCATCAGGTCGACCACTTATTGTGATTGTAATCAAACTGACTACTTAATCATGTCAAATTGCTCATAGGGGCTAAATGGCGTACCAAGGAACCCGAAATTGATGTATGAGGTCGAAATCACCTTTCTGAGAGGCTTCGAGCTCTATCATTGCTGAGATATCTCTGGCACCATGAATTGGATTAGGGTCTTCCCTGTTCTGCAGCACCTGTATTTATTTTGACTATAGAACTTTTCCAATCTCTTTAACTATCTTAGGGTTGATCTAAGGCTTTAAATTATCTTAGGGTTGACCTAAGGTTTAATGTTGCTTGAATTATCGACTTGACACAACTCAAGGCATAAACTTGACTCGCTGTGATTGACTCGAGGTTGACTCGACTCGAAGTGAAATGACACATGTGACTCATGACCCGTGCGTGCATTGTAATGTGATCGTGCGACTCGAAAATGAAAAAAAGCAAAAAATTTCCTTCATTTTTGTGGAGGGTACCGACTTTCTCCCGAAAAAGAAAGACGCGAAAAAAAGAATCGAAGTTTTCGAATGCATGTTTAATGAGCTTAGTCAAATGTTGTTTGATACTATCTCTCAAGGTGCAAGGATTAATCCATCCTAGGCTATCTCAACTGTTGACTCCACGATGAAAGTATTTGGGTAACTTAGGCACGGAGGCTAAGTAATTCATACTTCGTGATGCAATGACAATTATGATTAATGAGCGATTTTGATATGACAAGGCATGATTCAGCGTTGTGTTAAGATTCCATGACAAAGGGTTCATAAGGGAAAGTATATTTGGTCATGTATCTGTGCGGTGTGTGATAGTGACACTAAAGTTAGGCCGCAAGAGCTAAGTGTGTGGAAAAAATATTATTTGTTAAAAGAGTCAAATGGTGGTGACTCTTAGGCTAGATAAGCTAACGATGTAGGTATCAAGCCCCCAAGTCTAGCTTTAAGAATAGGGATGAGCACAAGAGATCCCTTGATATGATCATGATGTGAGTGTGTGAATGTGAATATGAATGCATGTTTATTACGGCCGCACCTCGATGTGAGGTTGCCTACGTTTCCGTTAGGAATCAGGCCGAACGTAGCTCTAGTCGAACCTCGCACAAGTGTGTATACCTCAAAAAGGTCTTTTAAGGGTTGTAACGTGGTTAGGCTAAAGGTTATAGAAGAAGGGGATAAAGGCTCAAGACCCTAGATAAGCCCCCAAGGTGTGCAACCTTGCTTTTGAATCTTTGTATTTTTTATGCTTGAGTTTCTACTCTTTTTTAGCTCTTTTTGCTTTAGCATTTATTTTATTTTAATAAGTGTGGGCAATCCCGATCATGCGGTCTATCACTCACTTGGCATTCATGTTTCTCAGGCATGGTACCGAGCATTCTATAAGAGACGCAATCTGAGACGTGTTCTTATCGAAGATATTTTCATATCAAAGACATTGGAACACTTACCCTTTTGTACACTTTTATGATTACCTAATTTTTGCTTATTTTTGCTATTTTAATTTTTTGAATTTTCTCAAGCCTTCTTTAGAATTGCATAAGTTACACACCATCCCATCCCAAGGTTAGGTAGATGTAGGTTGAAAAAATGAAGGGTCTATCGTTAGACGAGGCTCAAAGTGGTTTGTGAAGAAAGGATTGTATATTAGAAAGGTGAAAGGAGTTATGATGTGGCTACAAGGAGTGCCTCAAATCATTGGTATACCTTGTGCTTAATTCAACATGGATTTCTTTCTTTTTTTTATTTTTTATTTTTATTTTTTACAATGCAATGCAATGAAATGATCATATATAAGGAAATAAATGCTCATTTTATTAAAAGAAAATAAATAGAGAATCTACAAAAGTATTTTAAGGGAAAAGAAAGGTGTCTATGCTAGACTTATTGGGGAAAGGAAAAAATGAAAAAGAAATAGAAAAAGAGGTCATGAAATCTTGTCGTTGAAGCCCGCCTCTTGTCTTGCGTAGTTTCCTTTATCATCACTCGCTCTTCTTGTTAACTGGAGGCATGGGAAGTTTGTTGTTATCAATCAAATGTCGGATAACCTCCTTTAGATTCCAACAACTCTCAGTAGTATGACCCCTACCTTGATGGTACTTGCAGTGTTCGTCTGGA